AGAAGAAAATAACTTTTATTTACAGAAAGAACTTACGATGGTATCTCTTTTGGTAGCTGGTTCTCAAAGCTTGTGGTTACAACATGATCTTCACTTCACTTGCTACAAATTGACTTTGTTCCACTTCCCTCAATAACTTCAGTTATACTTCAGCTGTGTTTTAATTCTTTACACACACCTTCCACTAAAGTTCATTCATAAGGAGTATAAATTCTATGAAACTCTAGCCTTATTCATAAAGTACACTTCCACAGAATAAAGTAGATGTGAGCCTTCCCTTTACTGGCTATCCACTGCTCAAAGAACGTAACACTTTAAACTAATTGCACAGAATTTCTTTTGTCCTTTTAAAAATCCTTTCTTCCTTACATGGGAATCTGAATCCCATTCAGGCTGAACCCTTACTCCCAACTCCACTCCTGACAGTTCTATGGCACACTCCTCTGTGCGATTCAGCAGTGATTTAGCATGTGATAATCCCCACCTCCATCCCGCCTCCTGGCTGAAGCCCAGGAGAGGCTTGATTCGATTTAAAACCCCAAGTGAAAAGCTCCCTTGACACACTCTTCTCCTATCAATGGCTCCCCCTGCTGAGAGGGGATTCAAACCCTGGTTTCCAGAGTCATAGTTCAACACTCAAACCAGTACACCAAGCTGGTTGAATCCTATGACCCCTGCCAAATAGGTTCAACACTTGGATAAATCCTTCAGTTTCTGGAATAAAACCTCTCACATAGAAGCCTTCAGACATCCTGACAGAAGCTGATACAGTATAAAATAGCATACCATAAAAGGAATTATTAAAGTCACAATGGCAATATATTGCTTCCAATATTGGAGGCACTATGCTTCTGAACATATCTGTTGTCGAGGAACAAGATGGGGAGGTCACCATTATATTCATGGTCTGCTTGTTATCTTTGCAGAGGCTGACCACTGTGGGAATAGCATGCTGAACTAGATAGGTCATTGGTGTGACATGGTGGTGATGTTCTTATGTTCTTAACATTGGAATTGGACAACAATAGTTAACAATTAAATAAATATTTATTTAAACATACAGTGTTTATTTAAACATGATTAAAAGATTTTAAAGCAAGGGCTTTTAAGAGTGTGCTGTATTGTTTTAATTGTACTATTTTTTTCAACTGATTTTTAACATGTTTAATGGTAAACTTAATTGTTGATAGTTCAATTCTCCTTTTATGTTAATTTGTGAGTGTGTGTGTTTTAAAAAATAATGTATTGTATTTTGCAGTGTCTCAAGTGGTTGAGATGCTGACTCTGGGCCTAAGCAGACCACATGCTTCCAATCACTTTTTCTTGGGTATGCCAGAGGAAAAGAAGGGAATACAAATGTTGACTTTGCTTCACCCCAGTTAAGACACCTTGTACCCAAGCCAGGTAAGTTATTTTTGTATAGGAAGCAGAAGGTCTTGTAAGTATCTCTCCCCAAACATAGCCATAAAAATACATCACAAATAAATTAAATAATAATTCCTTATCCATCACCACCACCACTACCCATGTCTGCTGCCTGTAATGGCAATCTCATTCTGCCTATTGATAGGTCCATCCCTGAGCATTCTAACCTAGGTAGGCCTTTGGCTCCCATATGTCGCAATATTTCTTATGTAGTTCTGCCATTTCACTTGCACTTTTTTCCTCTCTACTATGTTTAACACTGCCATATTTGTTTTAAAATCAGGCTATAGGGAATTGGGAACATTGCACCAGCTAAATTTCTGCCTACTATGCAGCTGTTAAAGCACAGAATCTTTGCTCTCTCTCTCTGTATGAGGTGTTTTAAAATAAAAATAAAAGGATCCTACCTCAGATCCATTAGGTACTGCTACTCAAAAGCACAGTGTTGTGGGTGGCTTTTAAATGTAATCATCATGACTTCCTCCCTTGCTAGAGCAGCCTGAGGAGGAGGAAAGAGCTCCTTATTATTACAACAGTGTAGCTTTCTTTCTTGACAATTCCTTGCCTAAGTGAATCATGCTCAGCAACCACTTTGTGAAACTGATAAGTGTCCAAATGCATTCCAAAGTTCTAATGAACAATGGTTTAGTCAGCCTGCTCATTTATTTCAACTATTGGGGGAAGCATTGACAAAAGCTTCACATCCCAAATGCCTTCTATTGTTTTGGTTTACTATCGACCCAAACTAAAGAAGTGGTAGGCACATGGCCAGAGGGTGGAGGTAAGGCATAGACCAGGGTTAGGCAACCTTTTTGAGCTGGGGGCCAGATTGCTGTCCCTCAGACAATTGGGGGGCCAAAGCACAATATCTAAATAAATAAATAAATAAATAAATAAATATATATATATATATGCATGCCCACTCTTTCAGCCCCAGAAAAGCCATGGCAAAGCCCTTGTGGAGATTTTGCCAAGAAAACCCCAATAACAAGTAATATCAACAATAATCAATATCATCATGGTGGGTGGTGGCAGTGGCAGGACTGGCCTGGGGCCGGTCCAAAGGCATCGGGGGGCCGCATTTTATATTTTCATATAAAATGCATCATATGAAGATAATAATATTGAACATTTTCCAGAGCCATGAGAAGTTACTTTTTTAGACTGCAACTTCCAGATTCACCCAGCCAATATAGTCATTGGTCATGCTAGCTGAGGGAGTCTCAGAGCTATAGGGCCTTTACAGACTGCCAGAAATAATGCAACTTGAGTCCACTTTAACTTCCCTGGTTCAGTACTAGGGAATCATGGGAATTATAGTTTTTTCTGAGACATTAAGCCTTCTCTGTCAGAGAGCTCTGGTGCCACAATAAACTACAGTTTCAACTCTATGATTCTATGACTCCCTAGCACTGAGCCAAGGCAGTTAAAATGGACTCAAGTTGCATTATTTCTGGCAGTCTGTAAAGGCTCATTGTCTAAAAGAGTAGCATTTCCAAATTCTGATATAACCTGTAATGTATTTACCCATTTAAAGCTGGCTAAGGATTTTTCAGCTTAAGACTGTATTGCTTGGATGAGTAAAGGCAACCAGGGCAGACATGGGCAGACTTTAATCTTGGGAGATCTAATTTGTTTTTATTGCATGAATTACCATGCTAAGCAACAGGAGTTCAATACAGTTGAAATTGGAACCAAATACAAAATGGTGGCTCAGAGGGTAGATACAGAAGTCTATTGTACAGATAGTTTGCATGTGCAAATAGAGCTCTATATCTAATTTACTACATATTTGGGGTTCTGACCATGTTGGTAAGGGAAAAAGAAACCTTTATGTTGCTATTGTTCAAGTAATGGAAGTTGGAAACTAACATCCAAGATTTGAGGGAGTATATCTGGTGATATGGAAATGAGGAGTGGGATTCTACTGGTACGGCACCCACCCTGTTGCCTATCTGTTTCACTATTGAGGTGGTGGAGGTGGTCTTATAGGTAGTATTGACCCCCCTTCCCCCAAATGTAATAATATCTGGCCTTATACAAGTGGCAGTGCATACTCTTGATCTTGTTTTTGATGGCCAGAATGAGACCATTTTAGGAGAGACAAATTGAAGCAACCCGCTTGTCATTATCAGATTGTTATGCTGAGCCTCTGCAGATGTAGAGTACCTATTAAAATGGTCCATCCTCAGACACTAACGAATCTAGAAGGATTCCTGAATACTCTAGTACATCTCAAAAGCTGCTAGACCTGGTGATGCCCTGAATCAGGGTTAGGTAACCTTTTTGAGCCGGGGGCCGGGTTGCTATCCCTCAGACAATTGGGGGTCCGAAGCACCATAAATAAATAAATAAATAAATAAATATTTTTTTTTAAAAAATTAAAAAATTAAAATATGCATGCACACTCTCTCAGCCCCAGAAAAGCCATGGCAAAACCCCTGTGGAGATTTTGCCAAGAAAACCCCAAGAACAAGTAATAACAACAATAATCAATATCATCATGGTGGGCGGTGGTGGTGGCGGTGGCGGCGGCAGTGGCAGAACCTGCCTGGGGCCAGTCCAAAGGCCTCGGGGAGCCACATCCAGCCCCCGGGCCTTAGGTTGCCTACCCCTGCCCTGAATGATCTTTAGAATGGGGAGATGAGATTATCACCAAGCATCTTTTCCTTGAGGCAGGACATGATTTTCTTAGTTCTTTACAGAGCTTAGGGCACTGAAGGTAGATGATCAGAATGACACTGGAGAAATACTTCAGACACATTTAATTGAATATGGTTCAGAGTCCATTTTAGAGACTACTCCATTTTGGTGAGGAAGGTGAAGAAGTTGTTCTTTTCTGCCTCCATTGCATCAGCACAATCTTGTTCAACTGTTTTGGGCTGTTAAGGGGCTATTACTTTCTACATCTCAGATTAGTAAGGAATAGCCCTCAGAAACTGTGATTAATTTGCAATATGTTTTGTAGAGAAGATAACTTGGACCTATTCTGACTTGGACCACACTTTAAAGGTAGATTCTGGGTAGATAATTGAGGCATACGCTTGTACAATTTTGATGGATGAGCTTCAGTTTGTTCAGCCTAAGGATGTGTTGCTTGGATGAATAAAGTAAATCATTTGTTTGTTAGACCCATCTCCATCTTGGCTGTCTAAAACTGCCAAAGGAGGCTGGCCACTTGTCTAGTAAACATTTTGAATGTTCCTTTGAAATAAGGTTGTATTCCAACCTCTCTAAAAGAAGCAGTTACAAGGCCTCTGCAAAGAGACCTTCACTGGACTCCACTCATCAGATAATTATCAAACCCTGGAGACCACGGTTTGATTTCCCACTTGGCCATGGAAACCTACTGGATGATCTTGAGTGAGTCACATTCTTTCAGCACCAGAAAACCTCATGATGGGTTTGTGTGTGAGTGTATGTTATGTGCCTTCAAATTATTTCCAACTTATGGTGACCCTAAGGCAAACCTATTATGGGGTTTTCTTGACATGTTTTGTTTGAAGAAGGTTTGCCATTGTCTTCCCCTGAGGCTGAGAGCATGTGATTTGCCCAAGGTCATTCAGTGGGTTTCATGGCTGAGCTGGGAACTGAACCCAGATATCTAGAACTGTAGTCCAACACTCAAACCATTATGCCACAGTGTCTCACAGATTCGCCTTAGGGTCACCAAAAGTAGGAAATGACTTGAAGGCACACAACAAGACAACTTCCAGTTTCTAGTCTTTGTCTTCTAAATAAAATCTTAGATCAAATGGCAGCATCATAATTCCAAGCTTTCTTAAATGAAACTGATTGCTTGGGTTCAAGTGAGGTTATGGGTAGTAACAACCATAGTTAGGTTGGTAGAAACTGTATGCCAAGATTTGGCAGATGAAATGTGTTCCTATTCTTCTGGACCTCACAGCAGCATTTGATACCATCTATCATTCTGGGCTGTTTGGCTGATATGCAATTTGCAAGCACTGTTTTGCTTTGGTTCCAGTCCATATGGGCTGAAAGCTCCCAGAGGGAAGCTAGAGGAGCCTTGGTTCAGCCTCATGGCCTGTGAGGCTTTCTATTGGTTTCCTATGTTTTAAAATATCTATTAGGGGGAGGTCATCCAGAATTTAGGGACTGGGTCTCATCCATATGCTATGATAACCTGCTGTATCTCTCTTTTACAACTAATGCCAAGGAAAGTGTAAAAATCATTGTATAGATGCAGTGCAGAACTAGATTATGTGACTGAATAAACTGAGGATCAGTCCAGATAAGACAGATGTCTTGTTAGTTCTGGCAGGAAATTCAGCATAAGATTTGGATCACAACCTGTTCTGGATGTACAGTATAGGACTTCTCTTGAACCTAGTATTACATTTGGAAAGGTATGTGTGGCTTCTGTGGCCAGGAATGCTTTTGCACAGTTTTTCTTTATGTGCTGTCTTTGTCCTTTTCTAGTAAGCATAGTATTAATTGCTTTAATTACTTCCCAAGTAGACTACTATAACATTCTCTTATAGGTATTGTTTTGTAGAAATAATCTGCATACACATATAATGCTCATAAGAGAGGAGATTTTTGTGTGTGTGTGACTTATCCTAGACCAGTGGTTCTCATCCTTTGATCCTCCACATGTTTAGGGCTTCAACACTCAAAAATCCAACCAGTATGGATAATTGTCAGGTATGCTCAGAGCTAAAGTCCTAAGTATCTGATTGATCAAAAGTTAAGAATTAATATACTAATATGAAATATTTCACCCCAGTGCTTGATTGCTACACTGAGGGAGCCAGTTGCTGAAGACTACCTTCATTCCAACAGATTCATTTGCCTTAGCAAGCAGATGATATATTACGGTATTATTATGGTTTGATCTGCTGAGCCTACCAATGTCATACTGGGTTTCTTTTGTATTGTTGATGGATGAGGAAATGCAATATTTTAATTACTGTTTGCTAATTTAGCTAATGCATTTAGAGTAGTCCTGTCATACACTACAGATGACACTTGTCTGTTTGAAGACATTCTCACTTGAAGGATTGTCGAAGCCCAGTCCAGTTTAAAGATAATGAACACTAAGAATGTAGAGTAACAGCCTCAAAGATGATTATCAGCCTTTACGATATGGCTAGTAGTATGAGCAGTACTGGCCTCACCTTAGTGAGATATACAGTATTCTACATGAATTAGACTAATTGCTTTCAGTCTCTATACATACATGGTAACATATGAAAGCTAAAAGCAAATCTGTGTTCTTTGTTGTTTACTTTTCCCATGATATTTTATCTTTTTGGGGGGTGATGTACAAGTGACCACCCTGAATGCATTGAATTATAAAAGTGGGATATAAATTTCTGAACAAATAAACACTCCTATTACTATTATTGCTTCTGCTAACATCATAAGCATCAATAGTCTTCAATCCATTCTGGCTTAACTGTTTGACAGTTCAGTTTCCACACATATAAATGGATACTATCTTTTTCTTAGCTGGGAGCTTATAGGAGAATGAGGGCCTTGTGCATCTACCAATTTCCTTAAGGAGATTGGCTTTTCTGTCAAAAGAGGTGAAGGGAAAATACATATGGTGCTGTATTCTGCATTTAGGCAGTCAACTCCCATTGTAATCATAGGAACCAAAATCTTTGTATCTTATGGAGAATTATGGCCTCAGAGACAGTTGGCTACTCAGAGGAAACTTGGTGTGCAGGCTTTCATTTAGATTGAGAGCTAAAGTCCAAATTAAGAGAAATGAACTGCTATCCCAAGATTTCTTATAACAAGCCTGCTGTCCTTTTTCTGACTAAGCATGGGCTTGATGTGTGCCAGTCCCCTGAGTATTATACATCTGCTTGCAATGACCTTCTGCTAGAGAACTGGAATCATTTCTTGATTTTAGGTGATGCAATTTAGAAGTGATATTAATCTTTTTACTTGTGTCAAACCAGAAGGAATGAAATTGGAATGAGGGGAATGGAATTCAATAGTACAAGTACCGTAAACACTTTTCATTATCAACTGAAAATGGAATAGGGGAAAGAGAGGAAAAGAAACCTGGGCACTTGAACAACTGGGGTAATCTAAACCACCCATGTGATCCTGTGGCAGTGACAGCAAATGCAGTGAATTCAGAGGAACAGAAAATTTCCAGTGGAGGAAAGGAAATGCTGGCATGAATGAGGGAAGCAGTGGTGATCTTCAGATGACACTCTGGTGGTCATTCCAGCCCATTCCTCTTGCTATTTCAGATGGGTAGAAGACAGAACTGTCTGTGTACCAACATCTGCCTTGTTCTTGGCTTTCGTACCCCCCCCCCCAAATTTTGTGCCACCTATGAGTTCTGGATAAATAAGAAAAACTCACACACTTTTCTTGCAACATGTGTACATTTTGGAATGAACTCATTTACAAAGTATTTGTAGGATTTTGTAAGCTTATATTTAATGCTCCTTCACTCGTGACAGTATTTCTATAGAGATGCTTGTTCCCACTATGAAATGTCATCACATATACACAATATGGCACATAGTGTATTTCTGCATCTATATATAATGTGCAGATATATGAAAGTGATGTGTATTCATTTGTCACATGTGATAGTAAAAATGTAATAGTAAAGATATAACGTCTCCTATGTGAAAGCTAAATTTGTGATAGAAAATGGTTATGCCTGATGAGATCAAATGCTCTGGTAACTCTGACCACATGAAAAACTAAAAGGTCCATGCTTTAATTTCACACATTGATAGAAGTTTTAAATGAAACACAGAAATCTCTTTATATTTTGCACTATGCCTTTGTCTGTCTGTGAAGTGAATAATTTTCAGCTTGAAAAGTTAAAAGTACAATAGACTCGTAAAACTATCAAGAATTCAGAAGACTTCAACCACGTTAGAACCTTTTTAAAAAAAATTGAAAAAGGTCCTTCATCTATAACAAAGGTCCATAATTAAATTTCCCTTCTTCTTTGAGATCAACAGTTCCTGCTGATATCAGCAGAGGCTGAGGTCACATTTTGAATCTTTTCTGAATGCTTTAATTGTTTTTCCTATTCAGGAATGGAAGCAAACATATCTCCCCATCCAAGCCCTCTGAACAGCAGAAATAGTACAACTCTAACAGAGAAAAGTACTTCATGAGTGTCCTTTTGTTGTTGTCTATTTCCAAAATCTTATTGCCATTGCTGTTCTTGTGTGATGGTGCACTGTCTCTTTTGGGCTTTCTAAAATCTCAAATTTCTGCCAGAAGGCCCACAGACTGCAACTCAAGAGCTAACAAAATAATCAATGACATGGAACTAGAGATATGTGCTTGTTTCTTCACATTTGTTTTTATGAGATCATGTTTTCTTTCATGGAGAAAGCCAGGAGTACAATTGACAGGGGAGGGTCTATTTTATTCATTTTTTTAAAAAATCAACACAGCCTTTTTGAATCTATCTTGGAACACTGGAGAGGTATTCTTCCCCAACATTTTGTTAATAGGAAGCTAAGTCATTCACATTCCTAATTTATAATTCAGGTAGAAAATCCAAAAAAAGTTTGTTTCTGTTCCTTAGTACTATGTGTATTTGCCACCTTGTTCTAATGCATCAGCTGGGAATACAGACTTTCTCTAGGACCTGAAGGAAGCAACTTGGCACAAAATGTGATCATCCTCATTCCTACCAGCTCATGTTTGTAGCCCTGAGAAGAGAACTTAATTTAAGGTTTATGGATGTGTTGATTAATGTCCCATAAAACAAATCAGAATTAAGCAGGACCTTTAGGGTTGAGTATAGAATAAGATTACCTACAAATGTGGGTAGAGCTGTCCAAGACCTGTCCCTAGAGAATGTACAATTGACATATTAACAGGTTGCAGAATCCCTTGTAAAACTCAGAAAGACTTTGCCTTGTTGTTACACCACATCAAAGGAATGACAAACTCCCATGTTAAGCTAATGGCTACATCAGCATATCTTATTGTATTGTATTTTATGTCGGAAGCCCCGATTGCTATGCGGGGGAGGGGGGGTTATAAATAAATAATTATTATTATTATTATTATTATTATTATTATTATTATTATTATTATTATTATCTTGTAACAGTGAATTCTATCCAATAATTATGTATTGCATTAAAACTTTTCTTTTGTCTGTCCTGAAGCTGCAGGCAATTGCATTAAATGGCTCTGAAGTTCTAGCATTTTGAGAAAAAATAATTTCTTTAATCCACTTAGCAAGCAATTAATTAATATTGATGATTCTTATCTGCATTGACCTGGGCTCATAATAAACTTGTAGATGCAAATGAAGGAGGGCAAAAAAGAATAATGCTGCTGGAATTATATTTCTGCTGTGGATCAAAAGTTCAAATCTTCTATAAAGCAAAGCTATAATGGGAAATATAATCAGAAGCTGGAATACTAGAACTCTCAGAAACCCCAGCCAGCACAGCTGCAGCCCATGCTGACTAGAAATTCTGGGAGATGTAGTCAAATAAGGAACTTTTCCTAGCTCTGCCCATACATATATATCAATGTATCTGAAAATCTAACATTAGATTTTTATTAACTTGGATTGCATTTCTTACCTTCACAAAAAAAAAAAGAAAGAAAAGAAAGAAAGAAAGAGCAGTGTGATTGGCCTGAAGTAGAAGTGATTGATGCCAATTTTTTTAAA